AACTTTCGATCAATTTCAATGCATTCCACTGTGTGATCAGATCGACTATACGGCTTGGCAAGATATGACGCTACTTCCGAACAATATTTTTCCGTCGCTGATTGAAACAGTGGATGAGGAGGATGCGGACGATGTCATCGACGACTATGATGCTGAAAATGACGTAAAAATTTGTATAATAGTTATCAGTGTAATTTTACAATTACTCCATAAGCAGATCATGCGAGAAAGTAAAATCCGATGAGCCCAGCACACTGCTCGCCCTAACGGACGACCGGTAGATGTCACGTACTATTGGATGGTACTCGGGCGATCCTCAAAAAGGCAGTGCCATTTACTGTAATAGGTATTAACTGGAGGGCATGCAAGTCAGGATCGAAAGGCTTGACATAGTTGTTTCCAATGTGTAGAAGCATTTCAGAAACATCGCGAGCATAAGATATTCATAGTGATTGTCCCCGAGCAATCTTAGTACTTTTCTCGCTTTCACGTACTAAATCACATACTCACTAAAACAGAAGATGATAGAGGTCCCAGTCCTCTTTTTAAATTTCCGAAGGTTACGAATGTTGCTGAAGTATAGTTTCATTTTTGACGTAGCTCACTTCAGAATTTTCTGATTTAAATTGCATGCCTTTACTTATTACCTATTGCCAGTTATCGATAGGTAACATCTTCAATTGTCATATAATGCGAGGTTTTTTTTTTCAGGCTAGCTTACTTGAACTTCAGCGTGACGAGCATTTTCAGTGCGAGGAAAATCAATTGCTTGATCCTCAGCAGGTACTTTTCATTGCTTCTCTTTGCCTACAGCACAAAAGTTTTACAACGGGACAATATTTCTACGGTTTCTGCTGGCAGTCTTTGTCGTGAAAAATTGGCCCAAAAAAGCCACCATAAAGAAAAAGTTGTATAAATGGCTATGGGAGGCAGTTAAGAAAAGAAACGTGTATTATGCCTTGAAAGGCAGATACTCAGCAAATCAGCTGCCAGTTGAAGTTGGAGCACAAGGGCAGGTAGTGTAGTGGGTAACATGTCGCACCCGATTGTGAAAAGGAGTGGTTCAATCCCTTACCGCTTCATCACCATTTTCGAAACAGTCTGCGTTCGCGACAATTTGACGTTCTTTTAGATTCATGAAGGTATTACCGCCGTAATGGTCTTCCCGACAGAACCACTTTACAAGGCTTTACTAAATCCGAGATTCAGCAGGGTGTTGTGTTATGTTGTATGTGTGTATGTGTGTGTGTGTGTGTGTGTGTGTGTGTTGAAAACCACTAGTTCGCCCTATGTGTTGTAATTGCTAGACTACGCTGAGAAGCTTTGCGTCGGGAAGATGCATGCTCCGAAGCTGCTAATTATTTATGGCCAAGTATAATTTTAGGTTCACAGCATCAAGCGTTCTGCTCAGCGTGCTTATGAAAAACAGTCTCGATATCAGGATGACATCCAGCTGCGAACAAAACGGCTGATCCTGAAGCTGCGTGAATCAACACAAAAGTATGAGGCTCAAAATATTTTTGTGCGTACCTCTAAAACCAAGTAATTGTAGGTTTCAGCAACTTGTATTTGATATATTTATCGTTATATCTAATTTAATCTGCACAGACATATAGCAGTGGAAACATCAGTCATATTCCGTGGTTGTGCGATCTTGAAATGTCTGTTAGTTCATCACTGTTTTATATTGGAAGCGTTCTTTAGCTATTTAGCAGTTGACCTCAGCCTTGGGATCTCCTCATCTACCATACAGCAAACACCGGAGTTAGCAGATCAGCCCAGCGCGTCAGCGGCCATCCACTTGTTTTTTTGGACAAGTTATGGGTGAAACTAAAATGAAATGCATAAGTATTCGGGCACTATTTAGCATTCAGCACTCTGTTTTTTTTCAAAAAATAATTCCCTAATGTCCTGCGTGAGCAACACGAAGGAATCCTGCGAAGGCAACACAAAAGAAAATTCTTGCAGGTTAATAGATAATGGCTGGGGTTGGACTGATGACACATATCGTGATGTATTCGAGAGACTGAACAGATCGGTCAGTTGCTTTAATCAAATGCCTATAACACATGCGGAAATGTTTACCGCAACTGAGAATCCGCCAACAATCACCGAAGAAGCACGGATTGCTAATCTATTTCGGGTATGCTTTTATTAGGTTTTTCAACTTTGCTATAAATTCTGAAACATCTGTTTGTTTTTCGTGCATTAAGAATCCAAAAAATGTGCAGCAACCTTGGCTGTTAGAGTGAGCAGCTGTACGATGAACGTGGATTCTCTTGTTCAGAGCGTGGGTTCTCTTGTAAAAGTACCTAGAAAGTGCAACTGCTGCTGGTACTACCTAACTTTGGTTGCAAATGAAATCATTTATAGTCGAGATACGACAGCAGCTTCATGTTTTAAGTTCTTAACGTTTTACACTTCCTACTTCCCTGTTTTGTTCGGAAAAACAAAATAAGTTTTGCAGAATAAGTGGAAATAGTTAGAGGTAACGTGATAAAACTTAATACGTTATCTTCGAAAAAAGAATCCGATTTAGAGTCATACGTGGCAGTTTATGCTTAAAACTTTTTCAAATTAAATCCTGTGTATCGAAACTGCCGGGACAGTCAGTCTGCCATTTCATAGTTAGTAATGTTAACGACATATTCAAACAGACCAGGCGCAAGTGTACTATCCTTGGTCCTTTGATTCTGGGCTTGATCCTTAAAAAGACTCCTAGTTCACCGTTGATTCCAATGGTGTAATCGACAACTGTGCCATTTTCTTTCTTCTTTACTTTATGGTTGAACCATGAGCTGCATGTTTTTAATTATTATTCATCGTATGTTCAATGTATGTGCGTTACTTCTCAAGCCGTTGCGGACGGAATTCTCTTTTTTGAAGATAGTTATGGACAGGGGCAAAATCGAACCATTTGCCTTCATATCTGGACACGACGCACTAAATCATCGCACTACCGTCCCTCATGCTTCACTTATTGGACCTCGCGCAGCACCTCCGATGTTCTCTGTCTTGCTGAAATCTATGCGACATTACCTTTCAACAATTGCGGGCTTTTTGCTGGACTTCCGTGACCCTAACTGTAGGGTGCCTAAACAAACTAATTTATCAGAATGAGACTGTTTATGCATCTTGCCTCTTTCAAGAGGAAAACGACCATTCGAGCTGCTTTTCTATGCAATGTTTGAACGCCTCAGTTCAGAACAAAAGAGTCTGGCATAGCTGCGCCAGACAAACAAACATATTCTGAAAATAAATAACACTGAATTCCCGCGTCGATTATCCAATAGATCCCAGTGGTTTTTTGATTTTAGGAATAAAACGAAATTCTACTTCCAGCTTATTTTCCCTGGAGAAGATATTAGTGGAGCAAAACGATTCGAAACTGTGGCTCAGCTAAGAGAAGCAACTAGCGACCGCTTTGATGAAGTTGTGAAAGAGATGCAACGACTGAGCAATATGGTAATGAAACTTTCGAAGATTTACGATCCAGGTTCGTACAAATCATCGCTGGGAGTGAATCTGCAAAGAATGGATTCAATCTTGGGTTTGGTCACGCAGGTCAGCCAATTTTTAAATTTAAATCTTCTTCCGTACTATGCAGTTTGAGAGATTTGGAAGCAGTAGGCGCCGGCTAACAAGGATCCTAATGGTTTACTAAAGAAGAAAGCTGAAGATCCGTTATGTACAAAGGAATTATTGAGATTCAGGAATGGCGATGCAACCAGGATTCTGTTTCTCCACTGATGATAATAGGTGTCAAAACCCTCTCTGAATCAGCAGATAATTAATGAAAAGTCAAAGTTACCATCAGCTTACTTGTAAGCAACCCCTTTTTTAGGGGTTCCAGCGGATGACTGCCCTTGACACTCGCCACCACTCGGGTTACTTTCGAGTGCCCACGCTTCTCATAGAAGGCAGAATATGAAAGGAATTCAACTTTATTAGTGCTAAATTTCTTGTTTAATTTAATTTTTCCAAATTTAAGTTTTGTTTTTAATTTCGTGTACTTCTTTTTTTGTAGTATGAAACGGGTAGACTGCAGAGACGTGCGTGGGCCGAAAAAATGCAATCCCGAAATATGCGCCATTTCTTCGACCAGGATTTCTTTGAGGTGAACAATTGATTGATGAGTGATAACCAAAACTTATAATACATATTTTGCATGTTGCTCTTTAAATAAATGAAGCTAGCGGCATAGAGCAGTGATAAAAGTAGCACAGCTCTTGTCCTGAAGATCAGTGATTTTAAACTTACCAGGAAGGTAAAAAATCCCTCCACTGTTTGGTGACTCGCTTCGATGGTAAATTGGTACCGGGCATATGCTAGGAAGTCAAACCTGCCATTGTCTTACTTTTAAACAACCTTTGAAAGAGCGAGTCTTCAACAACCTTGCTAGCGGATGGTTGCCGTTAGCGCACGCTATCAATTAGATTAGTGCCGAATGCTTTCATCTCATAAATTCAAGTGAAGACAGGGGTTTTGTGATTTTGACTTTAACTTTATTATTGATTTAATTGCACCGTTCTTCTGGAATATTGGTACTGTTATTTTAGGGTTGGTATAATCCGATTCTGAGAGATTTGGACGAGAAATTGGTGCGTAATATTGTAGATATGGAAGATGATAATTTGCAAATGCTAATGGATTCTATCCAGGATGGCCAAGGCTTACAGGTTTTTAAACAAAATTTTATTTTTTTCATTACAATTCTAAACTACTCACGCTTATCACAGATTCTACAGAAAAAGATGCACTTTTCTTAAACTAATCTCGTTTTGAGCGAGGTTTTTTTACCGTTTACTACTACTTAGATTGTTTATTAAACAACCATAATTGTATTTTCATTTAGTGTGTTGTTGTAGATGGGTGCCATGCTATATTTCGGTGATTCATCGCAACAAAATATGAAAAAGTTTGGAGCATTTGTTCAGGATATAGTCGACTGTACATTTGGTGATGTGAAAAATGAAAGTATTGAATTACTGAATTCTTTCAAGAAAGTAATGCATGAGTTCCAGGTCAAATTAATTCTGGTTTTTTTTTTATGAAATTGCGAAAAAGAGCATACTTGATAATCGTGCAGGACTAACTGTTTAAACCTGAAAAAATGCAATGAACTCGTTCCTTCTGTTTCTCTCGTCGGAATTCTCGACTTTTAGACCGTGACGAGTTATTGCGCCAATCAGGAAATGCGGTAAAACCAAGAGTACCAAAACACCCTGGACAGTGAGTGTGGGTATCCCATGTTAGTGACGGCACCAGTACGCTCCCGCACGTCAGGTGCAGTTATGTGGTCCAGAGCTGCATATTTCTAGTTAGCACCAACTGCCTATCCAGTCCACATGTGTCACGTCTTTGATAATAGTCCGAGTGGTCATTTACTTTCCAGTCGTAATGCATGCCTAGATTGGCCACAAAAGCATACAAGAAAAGAAAAGGCGTCGATTTTTTTACAATTCATAGTGTCCAGTCATTTTGCAGTCAGCATATACGAATTTGTACAAGAAAGAACTGCCAGCATATTTGGCAAATTTCGATTTCGGATCAGCGTTTGTGGAGTAAGTCCTGGAATTAGATTATAATAATTCACGATAACTAGTCTAAGCGGTCTGAATGTGGTAGCTAATTTGGAAATTTTATAATAATAAATAATGATAATAAGGAATAGAAAAAGAAATTCTGAGTTGGAGTGTTTCGGTCAATTAAGTCGTACGCATTCTAAAACGGTACCACAACTGAACCTCGATATTTTGTTAACAAACAGGAAAAAGGGTTTACTCTTCAATTAGTTATAATACAGCTGTGGTAAACAAATAGTTAAGTGCTAAATTTTACCCAGAATGATTCATCTTTTTTTCAACGAAGATGTTGCATTTTTTGTGGTGGTTATCTATCGCCGTTAACTGCCATCGCAAATAACGCCAAAAAATACAGGGTTTAACAGTTACTGCGCCAAAACATGCACTCAGTTCTGTTGCACATTATCCGGATAACTCCCACTAAAAGCTGCCTGAGGCGGCAAATGATCAAAGAATAACTAATTATTTATCATATGTTGATAACTAATTATTTATCATATGTTGATAACTGAGAAGGTGCTATTCCAGGCGTAATTTTGCAATGGTCAATGTTTTTTTGTATCGAATGAATATCGAAACATGGAGGCAAGAGAGTACGTACAGCGTTTGGAGTTTAGCCTGTAAGAGTTTAACGTTTCAACAAGATAGTGCTCTTAGAAATGGTGGGAGGGGCAACAACAGCCCTCAAGATTCGAATGATATTTAACAGTCAGTGCAACCACTACGTCAAACAAGCGAGAATATTCGTGGCACTTCCGCGGTAATTATTAAAGGTCGGCTCGGCTCGGCCGGATCCATACACGATCTGAAAACGATTTTTTGGGGTCAGCTCGCTCCACAGTTACGACAGTTACGAGTGCGCTACGCGGATGGTGTGTGGTGGGGTGGGAGACGTATGCGGGACTCCGGGCGCGGGGACCTGGCTGGAGGACTAGAAAATGAAATATAAATATTTTCAGTTAAGTACAGCGTTACAGTATAAAAACAAAATTCAATGTAGGCGATGTTGGTGGTGCGTTGGGTTTATTCCTTGGAGCAAGCTTGCTGACCGTTATTGAACTCATTTATCTCTGCTTCCAGTATGGATTATGCACAGCACAATTTGACATCTTATCAAGACTCTGGTAATTTCTTTAAACTATATTAATTATGCGGCGGACATGGCTTCTGTGCGAGAGTTTGAAGGTTCGAGTTCGCCGATGAGACAACCAATCCCTATTTGATCCAATTTTTAGTTTCAGCGGAAATATGCCGGGTGTCAAATACGGGTAAGCTGAGTTTTTAGCTTGCTTGTAAGCCAAGTCCCGAGTGAGGGGCCATTTTTATGCAGTATATGGATAGGTGGCTGACATCTCAGTAGTACGCACTTACTGTTGGTCCTGGTGTTCGTTTCCTTGCTTCCTTTACTTATCCTTTATAAGGAAATGTCCCCTTCAGTTACATTCCCTGTTCATCCAGTTTTAGTATAATTTTGTGCTTTGTTAATAATAAAGTTTTTTATAATATTAATATAATATTATGATACGTAATGGGATGATGAGAGGAGATACAAGCCACTGTGGAGAACGTACTGATTCGACCCTAAGGCTAAGTGCCGACCCAGAGATACTTTGTGGATCGTAGCTGAGCAGTGCAGTGATTGGCCTTAGCAGTTCTGGAAGATATATCTAACGGTAGGCTGTCCGAGACTTCGTTCCGTACTAAACTAAGTAAATAGTATGGCTAGTGTGAAATGCCTGGAATTCCAAGTGCTGACTTTTTACGATTAGATCTAGCGCCACTGATTGACTCTCTAGGATCTGATGTCTCTGAGCTCTGCTTTGGTGTCCTGTCGCCAATACGTACACCATTAACAAGTAGGCAGTCGACGAACCACGTGGCGAAACGAGAGTGTATACTGCCAGACAATACTGCTGATGAATGCTACCCCAATAGTGCTGGCGAAAACTTCTGCTTCAAGAGTGCCAAGACTGACTCTGGTTGTTTGTTCGCCTTCTTTGATATTGTTTTTCCCGATAGCCCGCCGTTCGTCTCTTCTCACGGCGAAGTGATTTATAACTCCCCGTATGCCCGGGACATTGTTGACAACCTTCCTATGAGGCTTCTATCGGAAACGTCTCACATACACTTTCATCTGTTTAAAAGAGTGGAGTAGGGGATTTCCCGATTTTTATGATCTTTATAATATTTGAATATATATTTGAATATATTTTAAATCATCCGGCTTTTTGAAGTCCAATGCGCCTCTTCAAATGTAAGATAGTTTACAATACCAATAGTTTTATATATTTATTACTTCGCTGAAATCTGCAGTTTCGTTTTTCAGGAACAATAAGACACATCCAACAGCTGGAAAGGCAACGAAAAAGAAAAGCACAAGTGATAAATCAAACGTAAAACTAGACGGTGTTACTGTGGAACGAGCAGCAGCATCAGCTTTTGCAAAACTCCGGAATATACCACGTTTTACTTCCGTAAAGGATCATCCATCACCAATCAAAGAGCTTGATGAAGCTGACGAAGCGCTGTTCAAACAGCTGCCACTAAAAACTAACAACGGCAGCAGGTTAAGAACTGGGCCCGCGCATCCGAGTGAAAGGAGAGTTGAAGAGGTCGAAGATGGTACTCTGAATTCTGTTTCTGCAGATTTTGTTGAGGATCCCTCAGAAAGTGATCGCTTGCTAGGTGATGCAAGTCCCGTAAGTCGACCGGAATCCAATAGTTTATCCGCAAAAGCATCAATCGAGCATGCCTTATCTTTTGAGGATTCAAATTCGTCCGAAAGCTTTGACAAGACTGCGACACTATTTAGGCCTGGGGTTGATCGACAGACGTTTGTCTGATCCACAGCGTAGGCCTAGCAAATTAGTATCTATTACTGATACTACTTTGTTTCGAAATGTATAAAATTTTATGGAATTTCGTGGCACAAGCTAATTAGAAATCTATAGTTTTCGTGCTACAAGCCAATTAGAAATCTTTAGTTCACATAGAGATGTTGGACATCTTTGTAAAATTCTAATTTTCTATTTTGGCTAGTTCCCGAAATCGCCTTCCCGCCAAAAAACTTGCAAGGGTTCTTAGATTTAGGTACGTAAGCGTTGTTTTTAAGCCGTTTATGTGGGCGCATAGGTTAAAAACATTCTTGTGGAATTCCAAATCCGCGGCTTCTGGGCTGAATATGAACAAACTTTCGTTAACATGCATTCTTGCATTTGCGTAAACCTACAAAAACCATTTCGTCTACTTGGTGTTGATATGTGCGCGAGTATATGTCTGTGTATGTGTGTGTGTAATCGGAATTTTGCCACCCACATTGAACTCGGCAATAGCTGAACTCGGCAACAGCTGAAACTAGGACCTGTGAGCTCAGATCGAATCCACATAACTATTTAAAATGTCCTGAATTTTGGCTCCAGATGAATTCATATTGTTTTAAAAAGGGCTAGTATCTCTGATACCATACCAAATTCATGCTACCACTTTAAATAACTTGTGTTGTTTCACCTATGTTCTCGAATCCAGATACCAAATGCTCTTGTGCT